TAAATGTAAACTGTTAAAAAATAATAGCAGTTCATAGTATCAATATAAATGGCTAGATTTATTAGAATTATAACATTAAAAAGAACCAGCTTTAATAGCAGCGGGTGACAAATTTGAAAAGTTGGCAGAAAAAAAATGTTGAATAAGTTATCTAATAAATGAAAAATGGTTAAATGCAGAGGCTGAAATATAGCTGAAACGTCTAGATTCTGCATTTAATGGGAATAAATAAAAAGTTTGCCAAATAGCTTTATTGATTGATTTCATTGTGAAATGAATTGGAAAATGATTCAAAGCAATAAAAAAAATAGCATCAAATTAATACATTTGGAATAGGACAGCAGGTGTGATGAAGCGGCACTGGAGCTCATTTGCAGATTTTCATTTTAAAATGAATAAATAATTTATTTTTAATAATTATTTTTAAAAGAGAGGGACCTGAGCACAATCAGAACCAGTCTGCGAGGCCTGGCATCTATCCTGTACCAAATGTCTGCAGTTTTAAGTTATTGTGTAAGTGCAGCTAATAATACAGTGCATTTTCTCTGATTAAAAACACCTATAGTGCTACACTCGGTTGTACTCACGAAAAGCACGACAAGTTGTTGCGTAACGAATTGAAAAAAATAGCGAGAGATTCACACCCAGCGTACAGTCACCACCTCCACACAATAGCCAATCATGTCGTGAAGTGGGTGTGAGTGTTAATTGTAATTTTTAGGAAGTTACAGAAATGGTCAGACAGAGTGTTGGAAGTGTCTCGAACAAATCCTGATCCAAGTGTATTCTAACAGAGGAAGATATTTTCTAAAACAAAACTGACAAAAAGTTCTAGCCCTTTTTTGTTATGTCCTTTGCTTCAGCCTTCTTGTTTTGCATTCCCCTGCTATTATTTGCTACAATTTATCTGCTATATTTCTACAAGCGAAAATCAGTGTGTAGGCAGCACATTGGTGTGGTGGTTAGCTTAACACCGTTGCCTCACAGCAAGGCACTCCTGGGGTCTAATCTACCCAAGGCCAGTCTGTGTGGAGTTTGCATGTTCTCCCTGCGTCTTTGTGGGTTTTCTGTGGGTACTCAGGCTTCCTTCCACACTTAAAAGATATCTAGTCAGTGTGGTTAAATTCATTGGTGAGTGTGAATGGTCTCTGTGTGTTAGCCCTGCAACAGGCTGGCAATCCGTCCGGGGTGTATCTTGGCTTTTGCCCTATGGTGGTTTTTCAAATCTTAGTTGATATTTAGTGGTTAGTCAAACAAAATTGCACTGCGGATACAAATTGTGGTGACTGTTAAATTACGAGCAATGTACGTTGAATGTGACACATGAAAAAAACTTTATTCATTCAATTTAATCAATTTTATTTATAAAACACCAAATGACGACAACAGTTGCCTCAAGGCGCTCCATATTTTAAGGTAAAGACCCTATGATAATACAAAGAAAACAGAGAAACAGCAGCAATAATATGACCTCATATGAGCAACCACTTTGGTGACAGTGGGAAGGAAAAACTCCCTTTTAACAGGAAGACACCTCCAGCAGAACCAGGCTCAGAGAGGGGCGGCCATCTGCATGACCGGCTCCAATGCATCATTGGAATACCCCAGTAGCATAAACATATTGCAGTGTAACTAACTATAGGCTTTATGCTTTATATGGAAAAACGAAAGTTTTAAGCCTAATCTTCAAAAAAGCGAGGGTGTCTGTCTCCTGAATCCAAACTGGAAGCTGGTTCCACAGAAGAGGGGCCTAAAAGCTGAAGGCTCTGCCTCCCATTCTACTTTTAAATACTCTAGGAACCATAAGTAAGCCTGAAATCTGAGAGCGAAGTGCTCTGATGCGGTACCATAAGGTCATTAAGATAAGATGGGGCCTGATTATTCAAGACCTTATACGTGAGGAGCAGGATTTTGAATTTGATCCTGGATTTCACAGGGAGCCATTGAAGAGAAGTCAATATAGGAGAAATATGCTCTTTATTTCTAGTCCCTGTCAGTACTCTTGCTGCAATGTTTTGGATTCTGAAGGTTGAAGGCCTGTGGTACATGGCCAATTATTAGATGTAGGTTGATCATAATTTACATTGAAGCAATAACTAGTGGCAGGACTTCTTTGTTTGTGTACTTCTGTTACTTGTAAAGATCATTGAACAAAATATTCAACAGATCTATAACCATCTGAATTTACAGACCACAGAAAGAATTTACATTCACAAATTGAATATATCTGAAAACGCTCTTTATAAAAAAAAATGTGGTGAGTTGACTTTAAAAGATATAAAACAAGAGTACGGTGCACTGTTGCTTTGCTTTTAGGCATGCATCTTTGCTTAAACATGAACTGTAAATATTAGTATGCCATCCAAAATATTGAGGAATGAATTTATTATGGTGCCATTACTGTATGATCATACTGGAACAAGCTATCTCTGCATTGCAGCATGGAAACAGTCCGGTGCTTTTTTTTTTCTGTCATCTAACTGGATCATTAGGTGGTGAGGTTGCTGACTTTTTTTAGAAGTCAGCAACCTCACCACCTAATGATCCATGCACCTCAGACATCTGTCTTTTACCTTAATTTGATCTCAGCAGCCATTAGAAAACCCTTTTCAGCTCTTGCTTTAACACAAATTATTAAAACATGGTTACACAGTGACAACTGAGAAATTGATTTTCTCTATGTTTACTGTATTTTGTGTAATGGTGCCTTTCACACATGAACCCCTTTAATCTGATAGCAACTTAACATGTCAGTCTTCAGTCACTTTTACTGCAATCACAGCAGCAGCTTTATTACAGTAAATGTACACACCTTAAAAATCTTAATTAAAATAAATATCAGAATAATGTGTTGCTTATATGTTGTTCTCCTTTCTACAGAGTATTAGTTTATTATCTCAGGCTTCATCTCTGATGCACAATGAAAATAAAATAATTTTAACAAACCGTGAAAATGGTGAGAACACCCTAAAGGAACTAGTCATACAGTTGCATACAGACAAATTAATATTTAGCAAAGCACATTGTATGAAGAAAGTGACAAGAAGGATTAAACAGAACCCAAATTGACTGTCATGTCACTCAAAGTGTGTGCTATAATAAAGTTCGATGATGCAGCTGAATCTGTGAGAAGTCAACAGCGTGTCCCTCACACTCATGAGGATCGTCATCAATTATGTCTTAAGAGGCAAAGTTGTAAAATCCATTAGTGATGCAGAATGAGTGAGAATGAAAACATACACTGTTGGTCTCCGCTTCTATGTTCTCTACTTCCCCTTTCATCAAAGTGCCCAATTTTACACGCACCTTCAGCTTTTTCTTTAAATGTCACCCATGTCTGAATGTCACAAAGCAAACAGTGAATCGCACGTGTGCAGTGCAGAACAGAAAACCTGACAGGCATGACAGTGAATAAGGTGGGTTTACCTTACTTAATGCTTAATTAGATGTATTGCATTGTCTCCCTCTTGGAAGATGGTACTCATACCTTAGATGTGGTGGGTGCATTGCAAGGAATGTACACACACACCACCATAAGGTGAGCAGAACAAACACCTGGATTTTGAGAGGATTTTGTAAAACAGGAAAGAAAACACACAGAGTTACTCTTCTGCTCTGCAGTCACATGTACATGTACTGTATGTGGGCTTCATTTCATCTGATTCACTCTCAGCTTTGACTGTTTGGTTGTTATGGTAACCAGCTTCCCTGCCAAATATATGTGTTTGTGTGAGAGAGTGTATTTATGTTGCTTTCTTAATTTACTCAATTGTCTTTTTAAAACGTGAAGCGAATAATCTGTGCAGATGAGACCTGCAGTGGTGCTGAATGCCGGTGTTACTGGCATCACTGTGCTAGTGCAGATGTTGGTGATGATTGCGCGCGTGTGTGCGTGTCATGGTGCTGCTGCTCATAAGGCTGAAGGGTGCATCTGGATGCCTGTCGTTGAGCTCTGCCATTTCTGTACTGAAGTACGGAGGCGGAAAAAGAAAGAGAGGCAGCGGTAGAGTGAGCATGTGTCAGTGTTAGACATACACGCACACACAGTAGAGCCTCAGCTGCGACACGCAAACCTGTCTGTGTCTAAAAATGGAAAGCACACTTGCTGTTGCTGAGAAGCCACAAGAAGCTTCTATATGAAGAGAGCGTACATGTAGGGATTCATGTGGATACAAAACTGGCAGGTGATGTCAGATTATACACGCCAACGTGGTGGGTGTTACAAGGGCACCGTTTAATGAATTAAATTTCATTTTCTTACTACACCCATGTTAATTTCCACTGGGGGTGAAGAATATTGGTTTAATGTTATGTAGAGAAGGGTGAATAAGGCAGTGATATTGGACACAGGATAACGGATTTTTTTAATCACTATGTGGTTGCCATGCAACCACCAGACACTTCAAGAAGGTACTACACGTAAGAAATAGCCCAAATAGTCTCTGCCCCTGCCCCAATTCAGACGCGCGCGCGCACGCATACACACACGTGGGCGAAGAAAAAACATTTTGGGCTATATAATAAAGGTATTTCCCTTATTTCCAAACAGTGTTCTAAGGAAAGCTTCAGTCATGAGTTCACCCTTAACTAGATCAGTAACTATTATGCGTAGCTACTCCTTTAAGGATACCAATTTGCGCGTTTAGTATAGTTTGTCTCAAACGGGTACCTGTAAAAGACCCAGTTTAGGAATTCGGTGTCAATGATTGGCCGAACAGCGAAAGCAGTACTATGATTGGTCACATTATCAGGCACACCGGAGCGGGATGAACGACACACTTCTGTCTTGTCAACTTTAGTTTGGTGTTGTTTATGTGCTGTTGTACCATATTATACAGCATTTCACTGTTTAATTCATGGGCGCCGTGTAAAGGAGTTCTATTTAAGACACTCTCTATGTCTTTTTAATCAATAAATCCAAATATTGTTTTGACTGAATGAGGTTTTGTAGCTTAGCAGGCTAACTTCCCATTGGAAATCACGGCTAGTTTTTGCTAGCTTAGCTGGCAGCAGCGACAGCCAGAGAAGCCAGAGGCAAGGTAACGCAATAAAGTCAGAAGAAACTTGTACGTGTTCATGCATGTAGTTAAGCTAGGTTTGTTAAAATAAGAAACATGCGTTTTTGTTTTTTGTTTTTTTCCTTTTTGCTTTTTTTTTTTCAATTCCTGAATGTGACTTTGCTTAATAAGTTATTAGCTGATGCTGTACCTAACTAAGTTATTTCAGGGGTAGTCTTGAAGCGATTAAATGAATCTGTCTTTATCGCAAAGTACGGGTTTGATTAAAATAGTTATCTTCAGTTATACTAGTTATTCCTAAGAGACCCACACAGTCGCCTAGTCTTGGTGTTTGTGAATATGCATACATGAGAATTACTCACAAATGCTAATGATATGTTACCCCCATGCAGCATGAACTGTCCCCCAACAAAGCGTCTCCGTGGCCTGAACAAGGATGTAGTGACAGCAGTGGCTTTTGATGACCCTTTTGGAGATGATGAAGAATTCACCCAGGAAGTCTTAGATGAAATCGATGATATCGCCTCGCAAGCCATCACGTCGGCTTCGGAAGGTGTAGAGCCAGGGACAGGATCCAAAACGACTCAGCCAGCCCGCGGGTCATCCTGGCCATCCTCCTTTGGGCAGAACAAACCTGTGAACAAAACCACATCTAATCATAGCAGAGAAAATGCATTTTCTTTAAACAGTAGCCACAGAGAGAATGCGGGGATACCAAGTAGAGAACCACTGGGTGAGTATTTATTTAGTATTTTTTTATCTACACTGTTATTAACATTATTTATGTAAAAATATGCCCTTAATTAAACATCAGAGCATTATGTGTGTAAATTAAAGGAAGACAGGTGGAAAGGTGAAGGTGGGTGATTTTAAATAACTCATGTCAGTCATTCAAAACAATGAAGGTGCACAAGAGAGGTGAAGTAGAGAGTGCAGGAAGGGTGGAGTGACATGCGTTTCAGATGTGATTTGTAACAGAAGGATCAGAACGGGAGTAAAATAGAAGGTTTACAAGATGGCAGGGTTTGGAAACTGATAAATAGACAGGAGATGCTAGAGGTGTCAGTGGAAGATGTTGAGGTTTTCATTGGGAGTGACAAAAATAGACAAGGTTGGAAATGAGTAAATCAGAGGTGCAGCTCAGGTGGAGTTGTTTGGAGACAAAGTTAGAGAGGCAAGGTTAACAAGGTTTGGATGTGTGCAGAGGAGGAAGTGTGGATATATTGGACAAAGGATGTTGAAGATGGGTCTTCCAGGCAGGGGAAATGAGAGAGACCACAGAGAAGTTTTGTGGATATAGTGAAGGAGGACGGGCAGAGGGCTGGTGTAAAAGAGGAGGATGCTAAGGATGGTTTGAGATGGAAGCAAGTTATCTGTTAGGGTAAACTCGAAAGGAAGCAGCAAAGAGGAGAAGAAGAATTATTAAACATTTAAATATGCTGTGGAATGTTAATTCCACCAGCAATTACATTCCAGTATGCTTAATTCCTTTTCATCGTGTGCATTAATCATTGAATAGATTGATTTCCGTCTTTCTAGTCTACCATTGATTTAAATTGATTTAAATGAAAATTGCAAGCAAGAAAAAATATTTATGTAGCTCTCTGAAAAAAAAATGTAGCACTTTCATTGTAGAAGCAAAATGAGCTGCATAAAAAAGTCCATATTACAGTTTTGCAGCCACAAAATTATATGGAAAATGTAATTTGATACAATTTTGGTTAGTTCATAGATGGGCTTGAGCAGGTGAATAAATAAAATCTTTACAAATTGCACTCACCAACAAGGCAATAAAAACAGCAATAGATGAAAAAATAATAAGTTAAGCCTTTAAAACAAGTAGAAATAATAAATATGAATCACGGTAGCCTTGGAAATCTGATAAAACTCCCAAAGTAAAAGTAGAGCAATAAGCAAAAAGAAATTAATTGATAAGTAACTGGATTTCTGAAAGGCACTGCTAAACACATACTGATAATGGTGGCACACCATTACTAGGATTTTGTAGGTCAGACGTTTCCAAAGTGTGGGGCCCGCCCCCTAGGGGGGGGGCGCAGAGCCATTGCAGGGGGGGCGCGGCATGAAAAGGGAAAAAAAACCCAACAACGCTTGGACACTGCTAGCACGGGCGCCCACACAAACGCAAAGCAGGAGATGAAGCATAGCTGAATATGTTTCCAAACCAACTTCATTCTAAGCCAAAGACTAGAAAATATGGTGAAGCATATCTTCCCTTTGGTTTCACCTGCACAAGTGCCGAGGTAGGTCTCCCTGCAGGGATTGGTTTTCCCTTCGTTGGGAGCACCGCTGGGCTGTTTAAATCACGGACAAACAGTATCCCACATTCTTGATTGGTATTAAACCCATTTTGCACAGAGGGGCATTTTTTGAAAAATGTATTGATAGCAATGTTGAATATTATTACACAGGAAAAAAAACAACTACATGTAAAATAATTACACCGTGACGCCTCAGCCTTTCTAAATGGAGGGACAGTAACTGCGTGTATATGTAAGCATGTAAAACCTGCAGATAGTCAGATTAACAGTATTTCGTCTTTATCTGCCATTCTGCAATTCATCTCATGTAAACAATAACGTGCACACAGCGTGACGTGAAAAAAGGCGCATACCTTTGAGGTTGCGTGACGAACTCTGTATTCCTTGTCCACACGTAAACGCAAAAAAGGAGTTTTAAAAAATCTCCGTTCTCGGTGATTCGAAACGCCATTTACGTGTGGACGAAACAGCTGCGTTTTCAAAAATACCCGTGTAGGTGTGGACGTAGCGTAAAAGACTTAGTAGTTTATTTTCTTACTACCTGTCTTTATTGCAGATTACTTGTATTTGCTTAATTGTTTACTAAATGTTTGAGGTGTGAAATAAACCGCAATGGAGCAAAATATGGGTGTGTGTGGTTGGAGGATGTGTTCGTGCGTGCGTGCGAGGGGGGGCGCGAACATTTTTCTTGTAAAACAAGGGGGGCCCAGCAAAAAAAGTTTGGGAACCACTGTTGTAGGTTATTGCAGTAGCATAAAGGTTATTATGTCTTCAGTAGTAGTAGTAGTAGAAGACACCTGGAAAATAACCCAAGTGGTGGAGCTGGTTCATAGTTCATGAAGATGAAGATGTGCAGGATCTTTAAGAGCAAGCATTCAGATTTTAAAATCTGTTCTAAAATTACGTGGAAACCAGTGTAATAACTGTCTTACATGTGTTAAATGTCATATTTCGTTCTTTTATCTAAAACTCAGGGAGCTGCCTTTAGGAATAGCTGAAGCAAATTCAATTATTTTTTGATATTCATGCAAGCATCACATTAAAGTACCTTTTCAGTGTCTTTTTTCTATAAAAAAAACCCCTAACCTGTTGTAGTATTTCTTGAAATATCATAAAAACCAATTTAATATACGAGATGGAGAATGAATATATCACTGTCAGTGTTCAAAAAAGAATTATGCTTATGTCTACACAGTTCCTGTGAGGGTAGTATTCTTTTTAACAACAGTTATTCAACACGATAAACCACATGCAATTTTATCTTCCCAGTCCAGAATTGAAAAGGTGTGAATTCCATCTCATCTGTTCCTGTTATTTTTTCTTTATCACGTTAAGAAAAGTGTTTTGGACCTTCATCTGGCACAGAATCTGCTCCTCTATGTAACCAAAAGCCAGTGGGCATTTGAAACGTGGGCACAGTTTATGGTGTTTTGTCCTTTCAGAGACAGGATTCACAAGTACAGTCGTGTGTATAGATAGACAAGATGATATAACAATAGATGACAAAATGTGATGTTTATGAAGGAGTCAGGAGAACCATCAAAAACAGATGAATGGCTAAAAGTTGTAAATAAAACATTTGATATGGACCTGCTAATTAATTCAATCAAGAGCTCAAATTGAGTAAAATCATCGATCTTTGCTTGTAAACAGGAAGATAAGAAAACAAAATATCTTCTCATGTGTTTCCTTACATTTTGAAAAAGACCTTTGAAAAAATTAATGTGTAGCTAATCGGTTTGTATTTGAAAAGTTTTTGTAAAGTCCTTTAACATGCAAATGGAAAGATCATTATCAAAGTGTTAATACAGTCGATTTTTGTACTGAACACATTGATAAAGCTGTTGCTGTTGCTGTTCAGGTAACAGGCAGCAGCAGTTTGGGTCAGACAGAGAGGACTCCTACGGTCTCCTGGAGGCTCAGCATGCAGAGCTGAAGAGGAAGGTGAGGCTCTTTTAAAATGGAGACTGTCCAAAAGTACAACATCCAAAAGGTCCTGATTTTTTTTTTTAAGAAAGTGGAGGCTGCAAATTTTCCTTCCTTCATTTTTTTCCTCTCACGTAGCTTTAATATTTTGTGAAAATTATTATAGTATTTTAACTTTATAATGTCTATACTTCTTAACAAACCTGAGACTCTATGCCATTTCTAGTTTCTCTCCATAACATGGAAGTATACAATAAAGCCTTGGTTCAAATTTGGATATCTGTACTAGAACGTTAGATGTATGTATCTATTTTCATCAGTACCTGAGCAAAGGAATAAATAAGAATTAAAGGTCTTTGTGACCAAATGTCTTACAAAGCAGGATTTCTGCGTTTTTTTTTTTTTTTGTTTATTTATATAATTGTGTTTTGTGTATGTTATTAGCTGAAGGAGGTGGAAGAGGAGATTGTGTTGAAGAGCGGGGAGATCCGGGTCCTGAGGGACTCTCTAAAAGCAGCTCAACAGGAGAAGGAGACTCAGAGACAGAATCAGACCCTACTGGACACTCAAAGACAGAAAGAGCATAGTGAAAGGGAAAAGGAGCTTAACAGGAAGGTGAGGCACTGAAAACGCATAAGCACAGAGCATATGGTGCTTATAATCCTTTGGAATAATGTGACACTGGCACGTTTTCTGTGCACAGGTTCAGTCTCTGCAGTCTGAACTGCAGTTTAAAGAAGCAGAGATCAATGAGATGAAGACCAAACTGCACACTTCAGACAAAACCAAAACAGCCTCTCCGCTGCCTAGGAACAGGTCAGCCATCCTCAACATTATCAGCAGAGCTGATAATCAAATACTTTGTTACTTAAGGGTTTAGATTGTCTTAACATTTTTAATCTTTTACTGTTTTATTTTTGTAAACATTTTGCAAAATTCTGTTTATTACTGTCAGCTTTCTGCTTTTACTATTTTACTTTAAAGGGAGAGTTTAACATGAATAAATATGCCAAGGGGAAATCTGGTTGTAACAGCAGCAGAATAAAAGCACATATACAAACAGAACAGAAACATACACACACACACTGTGTGTGTATATGTGTATGTAATGTGCAAGTTGTAACAGTAGTAGTTCTGTTGATTAGTGCAAATTACAGCGCTGATGTAAACATCTATGTTTGTTGGGAGCAGTTTTGGTTGTATAGTCTGACAGCTGCAGGGAGAAAGGACCTGCGGAAACGCTCCTTCACGCATCTAGGATGCAGCAGTCTGTCACTGAAGGAGCTCTACAGTTCAGCAACATTTACATGCATGGGGTGGGAGACTCTGTCCATCAGAGATGTTATTTTGGCCAGAGTCGTTCTGTCTCCCACCACCTGCACTGGGTCCAGGGTGCTTCCTAGAACAGATTTAAGCCTTGCTGAACCAGGAATGTCATCCTCAGCTTTCAAGTCATAGGGATTACTTATACATACTCAGACTTCATTATTTACAACTTTGACTACAAAAAACGGGAAGCTGCCGTTGTAAGAATGTATACTGTATATGACTGGAAAACGTGATAGGTAATAGCTTTGAATGTTTTAATGCCACATTTTATCATGTAGAGTCCAGATAACTGGGTCAATTCCACTCTTCAGTCAAGTTCTAATACAGCCAGCAGAGTTAGAGGTCACAATTATTACTGGGTTTCTTTTCTTTTTCTTTCTCCCCACAGTCCTAAAATCCTGAATCATGGAAGCAGCAGCTCATCCTCTCCAATAGGAAATGGTTTCATCACCAAGGAGATGTTTGGAGCCCAGGTATCATCCAGAGTGACACCAGTGAAGGCACGGAGAGATGGTGGGTTGTATGACAACGCTGATGTCATGAAAAATATAGGGGCAGTAGTAGGAGTAATATATTTACAAAGACAAAAATTATCTGCTCGTGGTTAAACTCTGCCTGTCTATATCTATATATATGTTGCAGCAGAGAGAGGAGCATCCAGCAGCAAATCTAGTGATGTGTCTCGACCAGACCCCTTCCTGTCTGTCAGACCATCTCATCTGCAGCACAGAGGTCAGTCCCCCTGCAGTGTGCCTTCAAAGGGTTCCTGAAAGATTTCATATTTTAAAGCTACCAGGAAATTTTTAGGATTTTTAGATTTTACTGAACAGCTGAAAGAAATATTAAACCTTCCTGACCTTACACAGTTGAGTTGTTTGTAGCTAGTTCTGTTTCCCACACACAGTCTGTCAGAAAGTAGCCTGTAGACCCTTATGCTACAGTCAGGCTACACAATGTCTGCCTGATTGTGATCCAGCTCATGTATGTATCAGAATTTGAAATAGGTTACATGTAGGTTGTTTTATTTCATAAAGCATGACATAATACACAAAAGTGACTCTGCATCTGGGACCTCATTACCATGCGATTTTTCTTGTACTGTGGAAGGTATAAATTTCTGTACCCTCCTAACAGTTCCTTCATTTCTGTGAGGTTCACCACCATCTATGCAGCATTCCCCCAGCTATTTGTTTTCTGATGCTCACTTGATGTAGGGTCATCAGAATATACACGGAATGTGTCAGAAACAGTAACAGCACACAGCTTCAATAAATGTTCCACCACATATGCAGACTGTTATCAGCTGCCGTCAACTATCAGAATCTGTAAAGGACCTGATATAAACGTTTATTGGTATATGTTCAATTCTATTTTCTTTTATCTATATTGCGCCAAATCACAACAAGGGTTGCCTCTTTTTACGGAATATCTCTAAACTCAGACTAATGGTATCAAAGCTTGAACTTGAGATGATTATTCATGCTTTTATTTCTTCTCGTTTAGACTATTGTAATGGCCTTTTTACTTGTTTTAACAAATCAGCCTTAAATTGTCTTCAGACTGTGCAGAATGCTGCAGCACGTCTCTTAACAGGCACCAAGAGAAGATCGCATATCACTCCAGTCTTGGCCTCCCTTCACTGGTTGCCTGTAAATTTTAGGTTTCATTTTAAAATTTTAGTTATAACCTTTAGGGCCCTACATGGTCAAGCTCCTCAATATTTATCTGACCTGCTGAAACCACATACATCTTCTCGGGCTTTAAGGTCATTAGATCAGAGACTGCTGGTGGTACCGCGCACTCGTTTTAAAACTCGTGGTGATCGGGCTTTTCAGACTGTGGCACCACGGTTGTGGAATTCTCTCCCACTGTCTCTTCGCTGCATGGACTCCATTGATTCTTTTAAAAAACAGCTGAAGACATTTTTATTTAGAAAAGCATTTGATTAATTTCTTCTTATGCTGTTTTTATAGTTTTATTGTTTTACATTGTTTTATTTACTGTTATATTGTTTTTATATTTCCATTTCCTGTGTTGTAAAGCACTTTGTGATTTTTATCTGTGAAAAGCGCTATATAAATAAATTTTACTTACTTACTACTTACTTACTCAAGGCGCTTTACCTTACAATAATACAAAGATAAGAGAAAACCCCAACAATCACATGAGTGAGTATTAATCTGATTAAAATCTGTGTCTGTTATTCTGTGTCATCCTCCAACTAGGTGGCATCCTGCTGGGGTTATTGCTGCAGCAGCCTCTTTCTCCCAGCAGCCTTGGGCTCTCTCATTTGCTGTCTATGAGTCTGACTGACAGTCACCTGACATCCAGGTAAACACCTTGCACTTTAATCTTGACAGCCTGAGCAGTAACATGTAGTGTAATATGTATAAAGCAGTGGTGTAATAGTTACTGGCAAAGTAGAAAGAAAGGTTTAACATTTGTGACGATAGAATAAATTTTATGTAATAACAGCTTAAATGAAGTATATCAATAAATTCATTTATCCAACTTTAGGAATAAACATATTGTGGGTTTCTTTTGTTGTTGATGTTGTTGTTTGTTGAAACTGACTTCAACAAGCTACCAGACTACCAAATTTGGATAATCAGTCACCACATGCTGTTGCCAAGTCCTCAAAAACAGAATGTTTTCATACAATATACAAAACGTTTTAGCATTGACTTTACTCTAATAGTGTTTCAAAAACAGCCGTAGCATTGGTTGCATCACTAGTCATACTTCTCAAACCTAAATGACGTTGTAAGACTAACTGATGTGCTGATGTTGTGTGTTGTTTATGTGTTCAGTCGGCTGTCAGCAGGTTTTCTGCTCAACTCTGATGCTGCAGCTGGTGTCAGTGGAGGTGGAGCTCCCAGAGCTGCTCTTAATCCTGTCCAGAGTCTGGCTGTAACTGGACTCAACATGCTGAGTCAGAGCCAACCGGCATCTGCAGCCAGCAGCAAAAACAGGTAGGATGACTGACCCCAATGCCGTTCAGTTGAAACAATAAAAAGTCTCTCTTTGCAAAGTGCAGAAGAACAGCATACACTTTCTGATCTATAGACAGCAGAGTCCTCTTGTGGATAAACAGTGTAAAAGCAGATTAAATGGCCTAATGTAATATGCTGAAAATTCTCCCCATATTGTACATGAATTCTGTCCTTGGCTCTGAAGGGTCTCTGTATATAGATTACTTTGATATTTTTTTGAGCACATCAAGAGAGTGTTTCATTTTTTAAATTAAATTTGATAGGTTTTTTTCAAGATATGTGGTGAAATACCTGATACTTTTATTCATTATTGCTTTAAAAAATTTTATGGAATCCATATAAAAGGCAGAATCAGGAAATGGCAGCTTTCAAAGTCAGTGAGTTGAGGCATATCACTTCTGCAGTGTAATTGTCCATTTACATTGCTAACCTTTTAACTTCTTGGTGTAAAAATACATTTTTATTAACTACGAACAATTTTTTAAAAGCAATAAAAGCTACATAGAGTTGTAGGCCAGCTAAATATTTAGCATTTTAGTCCTGGTGTTTATGTTAACTTATTTTGTCATTGGTGAGAAACTTTGTGGGCATTGCTACAAGGGCCATATATTTATATGGAGTGTTATGTTGTTTTTATAATTGGTTTTAAAGCACCAGTATAATAATAAAAAAAAGAATTCACAGAAGTGGAGTTTGCATGTTTTCCCAGTGTTTGCGTGGTTTCTCCCTGGGTACTCCGGCTTCCTCTCACAGTCTGAAGACTTGCACTTAGTGTGGTTGGGTTAATTGGTGATTCTAAATTGCCCATAGGTGTAAATGTGAGTGTGAATGGTTATCTGTCTCTATGTGTTAGCCCTGCAATAGACAGGTGACCTGATCAGGGTGTACCCCGCCACTCGCCCTGTGATAGCTGGGATAGACTCCAGGCCCCCGCTTCCCTCATAAAGATAAGTGGAAGAGGATGGCTGGATGGAGAAGTGTAATAACTTTCCAGTCTGAAACAGATGACTGGAAAGAAAATTTTATCATTAAACCTGATTAATTTCTGGCTTCGTTCTTCCTGCATGTACTCTCCTCTTTAACATAGAATTATGGAGACAAACTCTTTAAAAACAACGGCAGCTAAAGGAGTGAAAACAGCATGACAGCTACTGCCTTGCTGATAGACATATCAGTCATTAGATGGCTATTGAGAAAGGCGAATACAGGGCAGATTCATTTTTTAAGGATGAATGGTTTAAGTCAGAATGAGAAAAATATCTTCATGGAAAATAACCCACTGTTTGTAGGTTAAAAGATTTGGATAGAAAAATCTAAAAAAATAAAATAAAAATTGTGTATGTAAATAGGTCGTGTCCTGGAGGTGTCCTCCTCCTCTCTCTGTTGGACCTTCACCTGTCTCAGCTATGCCAGTCTTTGGACTCGCTCCGCTCCTCCTCCGCTAGCAGCAGTGGTTTAGACTCTTCAACTGCCAATACACTTCCAGCAGGCCGCACTGCTGCAGCTTCTGCTGGGCTGGGAAGACTGGAGGAGGCTCGTTTATGTGGGTTTAACGTGGAGGACATTGGACTAGCTGCTCTGAGGCTCCTTTGTCTCCTGCTTGTCCACAGTGATGAGGTGATGACACAAGAACAACAGTATAGTAGCAATGTGTAATGGTGGCTCAAATATACAAATTGCAAACCGCATGGTGAATGTCGGGAGATTTTTTTCCTGATCTTCGTCACAGCTCCATATTGTTTTTCACAATAGTAACTTTGCATGATTCAGATTTCTAAATACTCTTTATTAGTCTAAAACAGCCTTGGCTTCATTGGATATTTTTTTGGTTGAAAAATTAATCTGACTTTAGCACTCACTAATTAACGGCTTATTAATTAATTACCATTAGGTACCCTGCCTTTTGCCCTATGGCAATGGCATGGATAATTAGTGATCTTGTTATTGGCCTTATTGACATCATACTCAAATCAGTTCAGTTTTATTTATATAGCGCCAAATCGCAACAACAGTTGCCTCGAGGCACTTTATATTGTAAGGTAAATACCCTACAATAATATAAAGAAAACATCTGTATTATTTTACATGAATCCAACAATATGAGAAAACAGAAGAGTAGAAAAAACCTCCAGAACCTGAGTATTTAGAGCTGTCTGAAGCCTGAACTTTGGGGTCACAGGGGTTACATCTACATATGCTGACATTTTCATTTGAAACTTTGTCCTTGTTTAATATGAGCATAAACTATATTATTATTATTATTACTGTGACATTATGTGCATAACAGAACAATACCAGAAAAATAATAAAGTTTCAGACGACTGCTGCAATATTTTTCAGACTTTAAAAAAAACATAGCACACCTTTATCAGTAAAGTGTTATCCAAATGAATTGTAATGCTGTTCAGTTGTGCAGTAATGACATTTTACGTGGTCCTCAGGTGGTGGAGGCTGTGTTGTCAAAGGAGAGTCAGAGCAGAGCCATCGACCATAAGGTACTGAGGGAATTACTATTCACTTTGTTGTGCTATATTAAACATTATTAACTTTCCCTCATTGTCTTAACCAGAACAGAGAATAAGATTTATATGATGTAATTTCATTTTCGCTCTTATTTTAGGCAGATGGAGTGGACCTCTGCTCTCAGAACACTTTGTTACAGTCACTGCTGCGGTTGTGTGATCCGTGGCCCGGTGGAAGCAGCCCACAGATTGAGGCGATTTCCCTCAATGCCATGAAGACTCTGTGTGTCTTAATTGAGAGAACGCCAGACAAACATGTTGACAGGTACACAAAATTTTTAATTGAAATCCAATGGTTAAGAGATCTTATTCTGTGGCAACACATTTGTTTAGTATAGTTTAGCAATATGGAAACCAAAAGACTTGGTGAATAAGAATGTAAGCAATTCATTAAATAATGTAATATTAAAAAGTAATGTGGAAGTGAAACTTCGCCTGTTACTTACTTGGTATAGACATGCGCAGATCCCATGACGGTTGCTTTTGTCTTTTGGAGGACCTCTTCATGATTTTGAAGAAAACATAAAGAGAAAAAGAAACAAAGAAAATTATGTTTGTTTATGTTTCTCAAGTTTGTCAGTCAAGAAGAGAGAAAGTGACCAGAAACTCCATTTTAATGCTTGATATTAATGGGTTCTTCTATATATTGTGCAGGATTATACATACACATGAATATGATACAGCTGCAGTTGCGTGGAATACTGCTGCAGGCAGAGGAGTGATGAGTGATAGGGTTGTTTGAATTTCCACTAACTCACAGTACTTGCATAACATCTTAGTGTAAACTACCTGCGGTGATTAATGGTCAATGTGGTCATCTTACTAAAAGTAGAAATGTGATGAAATGTAAATATAAACTTCATTACCATCAGTTGTAGATGTTTCTGGAAAATGGTGAAACTCATCCCACAGTTATTCTGCACAGGGGCCAGCTTTTAAACTGGAAAACTCCAGATGGTGTCAGGAATTTCATTTTCCTTTTATCATTTCATACAAAGTCTGAAATCACAACAACTCATTCAAGACCTGGATGAAGGTGCTGGAAAGTAATGATGATAATTATTCAGCATAAAAAAATCATTAAATGCATTTCTTAACCAAAATGACTCCTGACAGTTTCAACAATGTGAATTTTACTGGTAATATCAGTTTTTCATTGTGATATTAACCTCAAAAATCCTGTCTGTGAAACATCCTAAACAACAGGGGTCCAAGAGTCCAAAATTATAGTTTAATCAAAAAGAGATTCAGAGCTGCAATTTCTAGATTATGTTTGTTTTCTATAGTTTATTAATTTTATGTGAAATATGCTTATGATGAATTTCTTCATTTTTAGATGTGCGCAACCATGTTCAAGATTTTTATATAGGCCTCAATATATGTGTAAACCTAGATATGTATGAATCTCTGTTAGTCATGTGTGCATCATTCCTCCCCCTCACAGGTTAGAGTGTGTGATGCCGGTGGTGTGTACGTGTCTGTCAGTGGACAGCCGGTTCCAGACAGTTTCACAGTGTGTGTCCATCCTCACATCGATGTCTGACCATGAAGCACTGGCGAAGAAGCTATGCTCTCAGCATGGTGAGGCTGCCCCCTCTGCAGCACTTTACCTTGTCTGAAGTTTAATATCATTTATATGCTCGACCAAAGTCCTACAAGAAGCAAGTCTCAGAACTATTTATTTATATCTAAGTGAATCCTTCCATAGATTTCAGTGCCATGTTTCCACCCCTTATGTTTCTGATGATGACATTTTATTGTGTGCTGTTATGCTTTTATGTATCTTTATTTCAGCTCAAAAAATCACAAAGTTATTGAAGTTTCTGCAGAATAAATCAATTGCAGTTTTTATTCTTTTTCTTTTAGATCCCTGTGTTTTCTTGAAGTTGCTTCAGTTCATCAGGACAAGACCAGACAACCACACAGCACACACAAACTGGATTCAGCTAGACCTTCAGGTAGTGCACACACACTGTAAAGGTGTACTGACTTGTACAGTATTCTGTTTAATGTGTGTCAGCTGCATC